AAGATGGTGCTATTTCAGCTTCTGCCTTGGTCCTTGGGGGCTTATATATATAAATCTTAATGGCTGGATAAAGTTTGGGATTTTGCTGATTAAGTATGGGAGCAGAAGCAATATGTAAAAACACTGAAATTTCATGTTGGTGTTAGTTAGGGAGCATGTCAGCTAAGATATCTGGATTTGCAACAAACATTTTTGCCACCTGACTAATGAATATTGTTGAGATGATTTTCTTAGACATTTGCAATTGAGTTACATTCATGTACAGTGATTATGGAAGCTTCTTGTGAGTCTACTATTTTTTTGTTTGCTTCATATATTTCACAGGCAATATCTGTCTTATTACATTATATTAATACTATTTCACTCTATGGTATCTTTCATAGTTATGCTTCTTTATATTAAATAATCTTCTGTATGTCTAATAAAGTGCTAGGGGACATATTACAAAGGAGACCATTGGTATTTAGGTATTATGAGTCAAACATAAAAGATGCATACTATTTTTGCTTAATGTTTGTCTGTGTCTATCTTTGCAAGCACTACAAATCTAGTGTTTGCTGTATTTGTACACACTCCGTTTTTTCAACGAATGGGAGCGTGTTATACTGGATTTACTTCTGTTAGTAACTTTGGCGAATGATGTTTGTTTGTTCTATGTGATAAATTGCTTATATTCAGATCACATGTTTTACTCCCTAGACAAACCTGTAATGTGGGATTTGAGCAAATAAACTGTTGAGTTTAAGCCCTTAACCATGCATTACTTTCATAAGAAACTTTCCTGTTTTTAATTTACATAAGTTCCTTTATTCTACTATATTTGCATCTCTAACAAACATTCTCTCTAAATAATTGGGTGATGCGACTTTATTTACTTGTTAGAATTTAATTTGGAGACGTGGAGATCTTAAGTGAGCTGAGCTAGAAACCTTTGCAGGTGCAGAATGTGCTGTTTTTCTGATCATATCACTTGGGATTTCATCTTGAATCTTGGTAATGGATGCATAATCATACACAAAATCACGAGAAAACAGAGAAATCTGGTATAAGAGTAGTATTACACTGTCGCTGATAAGTTAAAAAAGTTTCCAACCATCCATTTGGAGTCCAAGAAAAAAAAAATTGCATTTGATATCAGCTAGGCTTCAAATTTTCAAAGGGATTGCATTAGTCCACTAATTCAGCTAATTAATCATTCGAATATTATACATGCAGTCTAGAGTGCGCTAATGCAGTAATGTTACTGTCTCATTGCACTTCTAAGTTCACAAAGTAAATTTTAACTGTCACTTGAAAAGGCTGATAATGGATCGAACACTGATATATTTAGATCTGTTTTTATTATGTCATGATAACCAATGATAATCTGTTAATTATTTAAATAACAAACAAGTAGTCTGATCCTTTTGTGGCTCCTCACAACTCCACCCCTAAGTTGGGTATGGTACCTGGTTGCATGTAGTTAGCGCATATGACATATTACTCCACAAGGTCTCAGATGAAGTTGCCTATAGGCAGATTGCAGACTTGCCCTTGAGATGGGTCTGTTTGACTTTTTTTTTGCTCTGATAAATTTTTGCTAATTTTAATTAAAAACCAAAAGAGGGTCCCATGCTATAAAAGAGAGAAAATTTATCTGTGCCACAAATGTTAACAAATTCATGAATGTCATATTTCTTAAGTTAATTGCAGATACATACTTACATGGTTAAGAAATACAAACATGAATAATTAATATGTGCTACTATTTCACTCTTTCCTATACTCTTGCTCATGTTTGCTGATTGGCTCCAGTTCAGGAGGCTTTGGACAACACATGTAGAATGGATTGGAAAGCTTTAGCTGCTATGACTGCCTTGATTTGCCCTCTCCTTGGTAAAGGCCATCTTCCATCGAAACTTTCAGCAACAGCAGTGACAGATGATGTATCACTAATGCTCATGATTGAAATTATTAGGTAATTTAACTTTCTGTGTTCTATCTTTTTGACTTCTTGACTTCTATTTGAGAAGATGTTGCTGCCTTAGTATTGGCTTCATGAGCTTATATACTAGTATAACATTTACAAAACTCATAGCGGATTGTAAGTTTGGAATTCTGCTTGTTAAGATGGAAGCATAGAAGTTTCAAAAATCTGTTGGTTAGGGAGCATGCCAGCTATAGTTTTCTGTCTGCAACAAATTTTATGTTGAATTATAAGACATCTGAATCTTGTGGATGATTATTGACACTGAATGTATGCCAACCTTTTTTGTGGATATTTTGGACATATATGCAGAGTCATGTACCTAATTTTTTTGATGTGTCAAAGAAACTTCTTGTGGATGCTGCCTTTTGTTTTTAGTATCCCTTCTTGGTTCATGGAAGCACCGCATGTCAAAGGTTAGATCTTTGTTTTTCTTGACTGATATTAATTAATGTTAATATTTCATCCTAGGCTCCCATCAAAGTAATGCTGCTTAGTATTAAAAATTCTACTAAGCATCTCAGTAGAACGCTACTTCTAGGAATTAATTAGCTGGGAACATGTGGGGAGGGTTGATACTCAACAGACAGTGTGTTGACTAATTTTAATTTGTCCACACATGAAGACAAATCCGTAAAATTGCTTGATTTGTTTTAATCTGACAATCCGACATAATATAAAAATCAATTAACACTAATTTATTTATACATTATGTTTCAATGTGATGTAATATATCGTCTAAGGTACTCCATGTTGTGTATATGTTATAATGAATACTGTCTGATTGAAATCAACTTTTGTAAATTCACCGATCCGTGGTTCATACAAATGTGGGGGTCTTATGCCACCAAAGTTCTTGATTAGTGGCTCATGGCCTGTGTAATACAGGAATGCTCCTTCCATTCCTAAACAGCAGGCAACATTTAAATTTAAGCCGAGTTTGGGACACTTTTTATATAATGTTAACTTGTGCTTTTCCGGGATACCATCAACTCTTGCAGTGTCATTAATCTTAGTTTTGTTATTTTTTTTTTGGGCTGAAGGTACAATGAAATTAGCTTTCAACTCTGTAAGAAGCTTGTGGTGAAGCAGTGGTTGTAGCACTGCTTCCCATCCCACAGGCCCAACTGTGAATTCGAATTTTGTGATCCTCCTCCTTCCTTGCCTGAGATAGGTGGGCAGCGCTTTACCTATTGAATAAGATAAAAACAAAATTAAAACTCTTTTACAAATTTGTGAAACAGAAAATTTACATACCCTTCAAAATTCCAATATATGGATGCTTATTAAAATATTTGTACTGGATTTGTTTATGCTATTATCACTCCATTGAACTAACCGTACATCATCTTGTTGAGAATGCATTTTGGTTTGCAAGTGCAAGATTATGAGTCATATTATACTTCATAGATAGCTTATTCCCTGTTTAGCAAATTCTTTTTTTAGGTTACACAAACTAACAAATGTATGTAAGATTGCATTATGCATTGATAAATGTTTGCTGTCAATTATTCTTGGTATATTGTGATTATTCCAGGACTAGCTTCTAATGCACATGAACATATGAACCCTTGCGCTTATACTCAATAATTCGAAACTTTGAAAACTTCTGTCTCATAATCAAAGCTTTTATTTATTTTATTCTCCTGACAGTTTTAGGTTTTGTACATGAAATTACAAATCCAAAACTGAAACTTACCGAATGTCAACAACCTGCTAAGTGCTAAATAATGGGTCAAACTTGAACCATGGTATCAAGGAATTAGATAAATGATGCTCTGAATCAAGGATCATTGCATATTCCTTTTTGTTAATTACTTAGCAAGTAGTCTGTGTAGAGATACATGTGATCATGTTGATAACTGTTATGATGCAGGTCTGAAGTCCCATTTGCCAGGCTATAGCAAAGATTATAAATAACTGAGTTAATCTATGCTGAGAAACGAGCAGATTGCATATGATAATTACATAATTTAGTGACCATTACAATGAAAAAGAAACTTAACTTTCTTTTTGTTGCAGAAAATGTTCGAATACGTAACAGTGATGTCTTGCCGTTGATGTATGGTATGGATAGGCAATACTTGTGGGCAAAAATACAAGACTCAGCTTCAGGGGATATGATATGATGGTAAGATCTGTTTTCTCTTTAATAATTAAAGTCTTCATTCTTAAAATATTTCTCATGAATATAGATGATGATGTGGCAAGATCAATAAGCAACAGGGGAAGCATTGTCTGTAGACGTTGTTCTTGGAGCTTATAACTTGTGGTTAGGAAGCCTGCTATGAATGAATTTTATTGCTGTTGCTCTAGGATCATTTAATCTGGTCATCTGATGTGTTTATCATATGATATGATCACTCCAAATATGAATCAAAATGACATTAGTTCTTGAATATACTATGCTTCACAATAGCCTAATAGTTGATTGTTTGCTCCAGGTTATAGTTGTATAAAATTTGTGTTCAGATATCTGATACTTAATTTCTAACTCTGTAACATGTTTTTCTTTGCATGTACCATTGGAGTGTTAGAACATCATACTATTAAAGCTGTATTCTTGTTGTTTTCTTGTTTGGTTTAAGTGTCACATTGTCCTAAGTTTCATAATCGTTCGTGATTAAGTATTTATTTTGTCTCTGCTGTCATCTCTCCCACACTTAATTGAATTAAGTTTGTGTGTTGGGTGGGTGGGTGGGGGGGGGGGGGGGGGAGGGGTATGGTTAGGACTCTTAGAAGTCTATCCCAAATTCTCAATCCAATGCTATGTTAGGAAGTGTAAAAATGTTATAGTAATTTGGAAATAGTACACGCGATTATTATTTTCAAATAAAGCGTTTAGCCTACATTACACTTGATTCAGTCCAAAAAAAGAGGGGCAAAAAAAAAAAAAAAAAAAACTACTGGCAAATGCTCTGGTTTGCTATGTATTTCAGAATCAAACTACTCACAATGAGTATTACCTATGACCCTGAATACCTATTAGTTCAATTCACCAAAGGGGAGATCGACCATGGTTGTTTTGGGGATATTAAGCAACAGCAGTGAAGTTGAAGTTTGAGCAATGAGTCCGAATTCCGCTGAGTGGGCCACCGAAGCCCAACACTGACTTGCCTAGGTCAAATTTCATTGGTATATCCTGCATTTGGTATAGCCCAATGTTGATATTAGCTCTGTACTCAATCCCACCATTCACAAATGCTAGGCATAACACTCCAGGTTTGGCCTCCACCATAGAGTTCAGGCCAAAAATGGACCAAACTGCATCCTGACCCTCTAGCTCGAGGTCGATGCTGGGAACTCCAGGGCCCAACAGAGTTGAAGTGAAATATTTCGACTCGTAGCACAGCCCAAATGGTGCTATTGGCTTCACTTGTGGCACCTTAGAGAGCTGCTTAGCAAAAAATGAAGTAATGGCCTTGAAAGTGGATCCCTCTAAAATGGTGTAAGGTAATAGGGTGTTGAATGTAGTTCCGCCAGCAGAACCTGTATCGTTTACTGATAGCAAAGTAGTGTTGAGGCCAGGAACTGGCTTTTGGTTGATTTTAATGTTCTTGACATGAATGTAATACTCATCGAATGGGCTAAAAGTTAACGGTGTGTATTTGAGACTCTTTGACACGTCGATTCCTGGGAGGAAACTGTAAGGCCCATCTGATCCAAAGAAAATGACCCCATCAGCAGAGGTTGTAGATGGTATGCACATGGTGAAAATGGGCTTAATCCCAAGTCTAGACGTAAGTACGTTTTGGAGCGCGATTGGAGCATGAGCCAGTCCGGCTACACCTTGTACACCTTTAGGTAAGCGCAGTTCAACCAGTGCAGATGGCGCACAGGTGAAGAGGTAGTCAGGTATACGGACGAATGGACCGGGGTTCTTCCCATTGGTTGAACTGAAAGCGATGACATCTTGAGCTAGCTCACCAATAGTACTTTGATGGGACACTGGATTCTCCAGTAAGTACCCACATGTATTAGTATGACAAAATGGTCTAGCTCCTTGGCAATTAGTAAAACAATAGCTAGTATGAGCTGATTTGCATTGGGCTGATTTACACTTAGGCTGACTAAAGGTCGTCGAGTTGTAGTTGGACTCGCAGTTAGCCCATACATGGCGGGTGTTGAGATCCACAACATAGCCTACTGGGATGAGGGGTGTCCTTCCATAGATGTTCGCTACTAAGAGTTTAGTAGCGGCATCTTGGCGTATCGGTAAAACTAGAGCTTTTGGCTTTGGGGATGAAGCAGAAGCTTGGCTAAAAAGGATGTTGGAAGTGAGAGAAGTTAATGTAAAAAAGAGGAGAGCTAAGTGAGCCATTGGATTTGATTGTTTAGGAGTATGATGAAATATAAGTGTAACGAATGAACTATATATATAATGAATTTTGGGGCGCGTTGAATTGTTTTATATTCCCATCATATTATTAGATACCTTAAAAACAATATCCAAAGATAAACTTATATAAGGTGTGAAATTCATGTCAATTTTATGAAGACTATTTTATCTTATTTGTAGTATTATTAAGGCCTGTTATGGGTGAAGAGTGGTTTGCTTTAGCAAGTGGTGAGTGCAATGTGATTATTGTATACGCGTAATATCCAAAAAGTTTGACTTATTATATTATTTGTAACATTGTTTTCTGTTCTATTATACAGATATAGTAATATACTATGCTCTGTATTCTGAAAGAGTATCAAGTATTGTGATCTTGAGTAGCGTAATACACGTGCAGATGAGGTGGAGTACACGGTATTATTACAGTATTCAAAAATTGGCAACGTGAATGAAAGAGCTTGAGCATTACCTGAAGGCATCACCGGATCGGCTTTTCACATTATTGTCAGAGAGCTTGGCTCATTCAGATTTGGTCAATTTCGGGTTACAATGATAGTTGGTTTTTGAGTCGGATAAATATTTGGGACGCTTTTTTATGAGTACTTTGAGGTGTGTAATATTTTATGTTTTGAGCTCTTTTGTACAGTATTTGGGACGCTTTTTTATGAGTACTTTGAGGGAATGATAAAAGTTGGTAGGGTATAGTTCGAGTGTCTTACTCAAAGAAAATTAAAATTGAGAGTCACTAAGTTCTTTTTTCTATTATTTTAGGGACGGTTACAGGAAAACAAGCACGACCCAAGTTTAAATTAAGGCCTAGAATATGGATCTTTGTCAAGATTTTGGTTGGATTTTGGCTTCCCAAATTCCAAGTGGTCCTAATAAGCCAAATTTGTTTTGGTAAAGGCTTTTAGGCATTTAGCTGTCCATAGTAATTTGAGTCTTATTAGATTCATGTTCATATATACTTTTTAAAAAATCAACTATTTATAACTGTTTTTTACTAGTCTGTTTACAACTAACGTTTCTAAATAATTTTAACATCTTTTCCACTAGTTCGTTTCTTTTTATTCTTTCTTATTATATCTATTTTTCCCCTTGTTGAAATTCACCACATTAATTCTCTCTTTCCAATTGCCTAATTCTTGTGAAAATAGTGGAGGCAAGGAAGAATTCCTGACCAAGGGGTTAATAGAACACAAACTTAATTTCATGAAACATTGTATGTGCAAGAACAAATTTGGTACTTTGCATCAGGTAGATAAAGATACTATGTAATGTTGTTCAAATTTTTAACGTACTTACCAAATTTATAAACATAAGAAAACACAAACATAACCTCTAATGTTTTTTTTTTTTTTTTTTTTTTTTTTTTTTTTTTTTTTTTTTTGGTAAAGGAAAACATAATCTCTAATATTGCACTGTTGCACACACGAAGGAAGTATGCTATACCCTCGAACAAACTAACGGGCATTTAGTATGGAGTAATAGTATTCAAGAAAATATTATGGGCATTTAGTATGGAGTTATATTATTTGATAGAATATATGATAAATATTCTAGATATTAATCTGTACAGAAGGATATAGTTTTGTGAATAAATATCTTTTGAGATTTCCTAACATGATTCGAAAACTCATCTTTGTAACCTTATATATATGAATCAATGGAATACACTCCAATTGGAGAAGTTTCACAAAATCTAACATGGTATCACAGCTTAGGTTTTGATCCAACCTTTGCTTCCGCAATTTATTTTAATTATTTTTTTCCTTAATTTATTTTTTTCTAGGTAAGCCCTAGCCCTAGCCGCGCCCTTCCCGCAACTCTTCTAGCCACCGTCCACCATGACCAAGGATGGAGATAATACTTCTTCTTCTTCTGATTTTCATCCTGCTCTCGGTATGAATAATAAAAAATGCAATCCCCATTATCCTTGATCGTGAGAAAGTTTAGTATTCGAATTGGGTGGAGTTATTTGAATGTCATTGTCGTCGTACCTTTAATGTTCTTGATCATATTGATCCAAAAACAACGAAACCTCCGGATCTATCTGAAGCTATGTGGAAAAGACTTGATTCAATCGTAAAAAACTGGATCTATGGGACTATTTCGGCAGATTTGCTTGAGACTATTTTATGCGAAGGGGATACGGCGCAGCACATCTGGGATAAACTCAAGGCAATTTTTCAAGATAATAAAACTATTAGGGCGGTCTATCTTGAAAATCAGTTCAATTCTTTGCATTTATCAAAATTTTCAGATATTCCATCTTATTGCCGTCAGTTAAAAAATTTGAAGGATCAACTTGCCAATGTTGATCAACCCATGCCGGAACAAAAATAGGTGATTCGTTTAGTGTTGGGACTCGCCAACACATATTTTGACACTGTTGCTGCTATGATTCAACAAACGGAGCCTTTACCTTCGTTCGAGACTATCTACTAGATATCGTCTCTCGAGAAATCAGTACGTACCAATGACCCGAACCACATGGCCTCATCCTTTGTGGCTTAATCAGGAAACTCTACTCCGTCATCAGGCACCACCACACCACCCTCGCCACAGCAGCAATAACAACCAGCAGGCAGGGGTGGCGGTACCAGCAGCAGGGGCCATGGCCGCGACAGAGGCCGTACGCCAGCACAACAGCAGCAGTCCGCCTCCCAGTAGTAGGGTGCGCCCATAGCAGCAGGGGCCTGGTGCAGCAGCCTACGGCAAGCACGCTCAGCAAGCCCCACAGTGGGGTTACGCTCCATATCCGCACCCACAACAGTGGGCTGCCACGAGGCCAGGCACACCGCAACCGCAAGCTCGGCCACCCCAAGCCTATTACACTGGGTCTTCACAACAGCAACCGCAATTCCAAGGCCAAGGTTCGGAGTATGGCGCGACTATGATGCTTTTGCCACTGTGGGCTTCTAGAATTACGACCCGACTTGGTACATGGATTCCGATGCTACTTCACACATGACGAATATTGCCGGTAATCTCTTACCCCTTTTTAATTTAAGCACAAATAATCATATTAATATCAAATAATTTTCAAACCAAAATTCTTAAATAAATAAAATAATACTTCCAACCTTTAAAATATTTAAAGCTTGATCATTTAAAACAAGCACTTGGCTTTAGTGGTAATTAAAATCAAACCAAAGCTCCCAGATACCACTTTATAACACCCTGAAAATTTCCCCCTTTTGAAATATCTGTTTTACCCTTTTAAAATAAAAAATAGGAAATAACCAAGGCATTACTGCCACCGTGATAATGGCTAAGGCAATTATCAAAGATACACAGCGGAAGACATTTTTAAAACCTTTCAAAACCAAGTCAAAGTCCAACAGTCCATCATGCAAAAGTAAAGTCAAACCTACAACTTGGAACCATTGTAGGTCCTTTCAAAACCAAACGAATATTTAAAAGTAATGTGTTAATCTCATTAAACAACAATAATAAACCAATAATCAATTAGTAAACACATATTCAAGAAAAAAACTAGAGTAAGATTCGCTCTTCGCTCAAACCCCCAACATGAATATGTCGCAACACCTGAAAAACTTCTCTTTAACTGCCCCTACTACTCACCATAAGAAATGGGTCATCGTAGGGCCAAGATAAAGACAAGACCAAATTCACACAAAACACAACAATCAGCAATGCTGAGTACATAAGCGTAATTGAAACACACTAACATGCTTACATCTTAGCATCACACAACTTACCTTGTTGCACCTATTTACAAACATACAACATACAACCAAACAATAGATAATTCAATTGCTTATTTGTTTGATTATGCATCGAACGGGTTTCCTACCAAATCCATGCCCCAAATAAATTGAGGTAAACTACACCGGGAGTTAACCGGGTAGGCAAAAATGTCACTTAACTAATACTTATAGATAATAATAATAATAATAATTAATACTTCCTCCGTTCTTTTTTTATCGCATCACTTACTACTTTAGAAAGTTTACTTATTATTGCATCATTTCCTTTTTAGAATAAAAAATATCTATGTTCACACTACAAATACCCAACATACCCTTACTTTTTCACACTTACTTTTTATTTTATCTTACATTACATAGACAATTTTGTATTTTTACGTTTCTCTCTCTTACTTTTTCCCACTACCAAATTTTGCCTCCAAAACCCCTATGATGCAATAAAAAAAAACGGAGGAAGTATTTAATAATAATTAATTTTTATAATAATAATAATAATTAATATATAAAATTAATTGATAATAATAACTGTTATGAAATGATAATAATTAATATTTTATATTATTTAACACATTTTATAATGTCTTAAAAAAAGTAAAAAAATCTATAAAAAAACAAATATAATAATAATAATAATAATAATAATAATAATAAAATAAAATAATACGATAATAATAATAATAATAATAATAATAATAATAATAATAATAATGCTGAAATCTGATCTGCTCTACTCTGCTGTGCCTTACCCTGCTCTGCTGAAATCTGCTGTGCTCTACTCTGCTGAAATCTGCTGTGCTCTACTCTATTGAAATCTGTTTTACTATGCTCTGCCTTGCCCTGCTCTGCCTCGAAGCTCAAATGAACAAGGCAGGACAGTAGCAGCCATAATGTCCCCCTCATAATCCTTCATTATACCAACTCGCCTCAAGCTTCTCCCATTTCTACACAACAGTAGCAGCATCCAGATTAACAGTTGATGTGGCTTCATTGGCTTTCTCATACTTTCTAATTATGCTCATAGTTTTTTTGTTGAATCCCAGCTAGATCAACCATCTTGCCTTCAAAAACCTAGGCATTTCTTCGCAACCGTATACCCCAAAGAAAACTCCAAAACACGCTCCACCATTCAATATTCATGTGCACCATCTTCCGCTCTAAGCACCACTCAAAAAAATATCCAACCTTAAAAGTGCTAAGGTCGAGTCTTAGTGGAGAAGTATACCAAACGTTGCCCTGTTACATAATGCAAGAGTATGAAGAGTTGTCTCACGCTCTTCACCACACATAGGACACAAAATATCAACCGTCAACCCCCTCCCAACCATAGTGATGGTAGTAGGCCAGAAAATGGAGACCAGGGCAAATATACAAGTACGAAGGCGTTTGCTCAAACAATATGTTTAAATTATTTTTCTATGTCCAATCCATGAAATGAGCAAAAATATTTTTGCACATCTATGAAGTGATTACAAATATTTTGCTCAATTACGAAATGGGCAAAATATGTAATGAGAAACATTATTTTGCTCTTTTGCATCAATCGGCTAAAATGAGCAATATTTGTTTACTCATTTTAAGAAAAGGGTAATCATAAGGCAAAGTTAGACAATTAGAACAAAGAACCAGTTGAAAATTCATAACATCAAGTATGCACCAGTTGTTCAGAATTGGAAGAATAGTACTTTGCAATATTTGAAGTGTTTGAAATAGTGACTTTGGAATTACTCATGATAGTTGATAAATTTTTGATGGATTCTAATTTCAGTTAAATTGATTGGCGGTTTCGATAACAAATATCGAGGAGCTAATACAATCCTTGTTAATTGCTAGTGTGGGTGGTATTGTAGAGAGCGAGGACCTAACATTTTACTACCACATATCTTATCTACTGTTATCCGTTATTGCTGCTCTTGATATGTTCAGTATAATCATGTTTTATATGGTCTAGTTCATGTTTTATGCTCTTATTCTACACAAGTCTTATCAAAATCTTTTTAAGGTTCTTGTACTTCCATAATCTCTCATAATTAGCAATCTCATCAATATATTTATCGAGTTGATTCATCACATATAACAAAATAACACTCTAAAATTAATACCCCTAACATAAAAACCAGCAAACAAAAGCAATTTCTGATGCCAAAAGAAGCAAGTCATTAAGTCAAGACATACAAACCAGCATTATTTAGCTTAACCTCAATCAAAATTGATTTTCAATATCGTACAATTGTATATCAAAGCCACTTCGAAAAATTTCCAAATAAAATTGGTGAAAAAGTGAAAACTGTCATTGCCATGCCTCCTGAAAAATAAATGACATTAAAATAAAAATTTCATTCATCATTTCAATCTATTGTTCATAGGAAACAAATTAAATTAAAAATCAATAAATAAGCAAAATAATAGGTAAAAACGCAACAAATTAAAAATCAATAATTTGATACTTACCTTCTTCGTTCATAAATAACAGCTTTCGATTTTGGTTCATCGTTCACATGTTCGACTGAATCCATTTGCAATTGGCGATTTCTATGGTTTAAGCATAAAAATCACGAAAACCTAATTCATGAATAATGTAAGTTTGTATTGAATTTCAGCCAATGACGTAAAATAATCGAATTTTGAAAATAAATTAGATCATAATAGTGATAAACTTACTTTAAATTAGTATAGAATTTCCCCAAAAACCACTGATATGAGGAGAGAGAGAACAACAAAAAGTTTAGAGAGAGAAAGAGATGTTGAACGTGAAAGCTAAGAAGAATAGGAAAGAGAGAATGGGGTGTATAGATTCATGAAATTACGGAAATGTCATTACTATGTTCTTTTTGGACGGTTAGATTTAATTTGATCAATGATCTAGATTTGTTCTCATATAGATTAGAGTTCTCACATAAGGGATGAGTTCTCACAAGAGCCTCTCCCTATATATATATATATATGTTAGAACAAAATGGAGGATTAAACAAGAGGGGCCGAATATTTCTTCTAGGCACGTAACTTAATGCCGCTTTAAATAGTTTATTATCATCCAACTACGAAACAACAAGGTTAACACGATAAAACTATTGAGATACAAAGAAGAGACAATTGATTTTGGTTGTTTAACAAAATTAATCAACAAGAAGTTTTTGAACAAGTGTTTGTAAAATCAATCAAGAGAAACTACTCTAGATTAAGTTTTCATAAAAGAAGCAAGTTTAATGATGTTTTTCTTAATCATCTTACATCATATATTCACATTAGGCCAGACAACCATCTTTACTTATTTAGAATGAGGGATATACCTAAAAGAGTGTCCCTCAAGAGACATGTCTTTTAACCCAAAAGACATTAACGTAAGTTAATTATAATAAATATCATAATTAACTACTTACGTTACTAAGCACATAAAAAGTTAGCAAAAGATATGTCTTTTAACTCAAAAGGCATTAGCACAATTAAATATTTAATTACGTTCATTGGTATTTTTCATATACTTATTATTACTCACCTCTCATAACAAAACCGCATATCATTAATTTCCCCAACTCCTAATGATATAAATGTGAATCCAAAAGCACATTTTTATTTTTGAAGGAAAGATAGAGCTCTTATTCATAAAATTAAATCAAGTTCATTTCCGCCAAAGTTAAAATACTTTAGGGAAAGGCACACAAACGTACAAGTTCCACATTGTCACTCATGTCCCATCTTGCTACAAGATGAGCCACCGTATTACATGATCTCTTAATGTGTGAAAAAGTACAAAACTCAAACTTAGATCTATCAATACAAATATCATCAAAAATAGAATAAATGGGTGAACGACCTTCCTCCTTCGACTTCACAGCCTTGATCACATTGATGGCATCCGACTCCACCAAGATTCTAGCATAACCCATCCTGTGCGAAAGCTGGAGACCATAGCGAACCGCAAGAGCTTCCACAATCTCAGGTGAGGCAATAGCAGTCCTCCTCTTTGCAGCAACAACAGTTTTTCCTTCGGCATCCCTGCATACAACCCCAAGCCCAGCCATCCCACTACTCGGTACATGAGTATCCACAATAATCTTGATTGCATTCGTTGGGGAACAGCTCCAGCTAGAAATACTCCGGGGCTCTAAGGCATTTGCAACTCTATGAAACACCTTTTTTGCGTAAGACTGGTAGTCTTGAACAAGACGACAATCACCAGCAGCAAGTAGCACGGTGTTTGGCCTCTGATTCTAAAAAATGGTGAGGTTTCTACAACGCCATGCTGCCCACATCAAAGCAGCCATAGTGCTCAGCACCTCACCATTACATTTCCTATATAACCACGCCCAAAAAACAGCAAAGGAGTAAGTTGGAGCATCAACAAGATTTTCTTTTAAGTCACTACACTCCGAAATTTTAGCAACCGCATTGCATTCAACTAGAGCATGCCAAATCATTTCATCGTTGTGGTCACAAATTTGACAGGAAGCATCATTAGAAATGTGACGTTGGACGAGTCTATTATTGACTGGAAGATTTCCCTTTACCGCACTCCAAAGAAAGTGCTAGAGCTTTGGTGGCCCACGAGTGTTCCATACCATTCGCCAAACCTCATCATCAGGTATATCAGCTAGCTCACTCCCTTCACCTCCTTTTGCCAACCAATAACCTGACTATACAGAGTATATACCATTTCTTGCTTGCCACCAGAACACCCCATCAACACGTCTCTCACACGCAAGAGGAACAACCAAAATTCTCGCTCCCATCTCATTATCCACCATCGAACTCACCTTTACAGCATCCTACTTCCTTCCACCATCACACATAAGATCTCGCACCAACATATTCGCATCCACGCTTTCAGATCGAGGCAATAATATAGGCTTCCCTCTTACAACACCCATAAATCTTTCCAAATCCGAATGCTACCCCCATCACCCACCCTCCAAGCAAGGCCAACCCTCATAAGACCCTTAGCTCCCCACATACTTCTCCAAGTGTAACTTGGGTCGTATCCCCTTAGAGCTTCAAGAACATTTGAGTTCTTAAAATAACGAGCTTTAAGGATTTTGTGGAGAAGAGATGATTAATTCGTGAGCAGCCTCTAATTTTGCTTTGCAAGGAGCGCTTGGTTAAACATTTAAGGTCTTGAAAGCCCATCCCACCCTTCGCCTTCAGAAGGCACAACCTCTCCCAACTTTGCCAATGTAATTTCCTCTCGTTTTCCCTTGAGCCCCACCATAACCGACACAATAAAGAGTGAATTTATTCAATTAACCCATCTGGAATTTTAAAAATGCGCATCATATATGTTGGGATTGCTTGAGCTACGACCTTGATTAAAACTTCTTTCCCCGGTTTAGAGAGTAATCATTCCTTCCACCCATTCAATTTCTTCCATATTCTTTCCTTCAAACAAGCAAAAATTGCTTTTTTTGATTTCCCAATCATAGTCGGAAGACCCAAATATTTCTCATGTCTCTCAACTTCACGTACACCCAAAGTATCAATAATCTCTTCACTCCTTTCGACAGTGGAATATTTGCTAAAAGTGACTTCTGTCTTACTTACACTACAAAAAAAGGCCATTTTCGACGGAAGAATTCTCTCGGAAACACCCAGTTTTCCGACGGAATTTCCATCAGAACCGGTTGTAGGAACAACTTTTGTAGGAAAAACGACCTTTTTTGACGGAATTTCCATCGGAAACACTTTTCCGACGGAATTCAATCGTCGAAAAAGATTTTTCGGCCCGGGAAAAGTCCGTCGAAAACCCCTGCCAAAAAAAAAAGATGCTCCACCACCAGTAACGCCACCAACCTCCACCACCACTATAAAAAAAACCACAATTTAACCCACCACCGCCTTAACCCACCACCTTAATACACGACTCGACCAGTCCCAGATCTACATTCCTAACCCTGAACCCACCACCACCTTAACCCACCCAACCTAACCCAAATCTACATTCCTATCCCACCCACGCAACCACCATTCTCTTTTCCCAGCCACACTACCCACGCAAACCACCTGCCAGACTTCGGCACAACCCACGACCACCACCAGCCCCAACCCCACACCACGACCACCCACCTAAACCCACTCTTTCACTCCTCCTCGACACAACTCACGACCACCACCATAACCCAAAAATTAAAATAAAATTAAAAAAAAAAACAAAACCAAAACAAAAAAATTAATTCTACAACAAAACAAAACCTAGATCTACAACCCTAATCCACCCACGAAACCACCATATCCATAACAAATTAAAAATTAAATTAATTAAAGTAAATTTAAAACATACCTCAAAAGTCGAATAATTACCTTAAAACCGGCAATGGCTTCGAATTTCACCTCAAATATGGCTAAAAATGCCAAATTCGACCATGAAAACTCTAGATCTAGAGTTTTTACTGCTGAATTTGGCCTTAAAAACCTTTAACTTGTTTTAAAAAACCCCTAAAAACTCTAGATTTGATGTTGGCGGTGTTGATGGCGTTGGGAGGTGTTGTTGATGATGGCGGTGGGCAGTGTTGCTGATGATGGGTGTTGAGGTGGTGTGAGAAAGATGGGGAAAGAAGAAAAAAGAATAAAGAGGGGAAAGAAAGAAGAAGAGCAGAGAAGAGGAGGAGATCGAAGAAATCAGGGGGAAAAGAGAAGACGAGAGGAGAGAGAAAAAAGGGGGAAAGGGAAGTGGAGAGAGAAAGAGAAGGGGAAAGAGAAAAGGAGGAAAGAAAAGTCGAGAAAGAAAGAGAAGGGGAAAGAGGGGAGGAAAGGGTAGTTAGGTTTAGATTTATTTTTTTTTATAAATATTCCGACAAAAATTCCATCGGAAATTTCCGACGAAATATAAATCCGTCGGAAAGTTAATTTATTATGTCGAAAAGAACAAATCTTCCGACGGATTTATATTCTGTCGGAAATTTCTGACGGATTTCCGACGGATTTTTTAAATTTGTCAGAAATATCCAACGGAATATAAATCCGTCGGAAATTTCGAATTTTCCGACGTGATCACGTATCCGTCGGAACCATTCCGTTGGAATTAGGCTGTTTTCTAGTGGTGTCAAATTGACTTTCTGACTAGATGCTCTTTCGTTTGAATTGATGATTTCAGCTATTTTCGAACATTCCCGCAGAGTAGCTTTTGCAAAAGAATACTATCATCGGCAAAAAAGAGGTGAGACACTCTAGGAGCAAAGTGACAAACTCTTGCCCTACTAGTTTTCTTCTCCCGAGCTGCTTTTGAAATAAGACCAGAAAAAGCGTCAGCACATAGCAGAAATAAATAGTGGGAGATTGGGTCACCTTGGCGAAGGCCTCTCGCCGGGATCACAGACCCCGAAATTTCACCAGTCACCTGGCCTTAAAAGAAAAAGAGACACTCGAAATACATTCCATCACCCTATGAACCCAAGCATTACAAAACCCCAACTTATACATTACTCTCTCTTGAAAGCACCGTTCAACTCGATCATACGCTTTACTCATATCAAGCTTGAGGGCCACTGAACCATCACTCCTTTCCCTTCTCCTCTTCATCGAATGAAAAATCTCAAAAGTAATAAGAGCGTTATTAGTAATCCAACGACCTGGAATGAAAGCACTCTGATTTACAGAAATAATATCATTAAGAAACGGCTTCAGCTTGTTTGCCATTGTCTTAGATATTATTTTGTAGATTACATTGCAACAACTAATCGGACGGAACTCAGACATATAATTAGGCTCATCACATTTGGGAATCAACACAATACATGTCCTATTTATCTCAGCAATATCAATCAAACCCCGCCACCAATTTTTAACCATCGCAACAATATCAGACCCAACAATATGCCAATATTTTTGAAAGAAAAGAGCATGCATACCGTCCGTACCAGGTGCTTTATTTGGATGCATCTAA